AATAGATAACTAATATTTCATCTTAGTTGGACAGTCCAACTGTGTGAATAGATACATTATAAAAATATATATAAAATAGTAAAGAAGTCAATTTAAAAAAATAATAATAAATAAATTTAAAATAAATAAAATGAGAAAATGCCTTGTGAAGGAATATATACATTAAAAATAAATAAAAATAAAATCTACAAAAACTGAGAATCAAAGCGTGGTTTCTAATTCACGTTTTCTCTTGCTTAAATGCCTCAGTCGAGAAAATAAATAGAATTTGTTCTTTAAAAGATTAGAACATTGCGCATCCATGAATTCTCTCTTGATTTAGGTTTGTTGAAATAAAAGATTTGTCATACCATATATTATATATTATTTGCAGTAGTGTGTATATAAAGTTATTATATTAATGAAATACACTAGAGTTACCATTGTATTAAAAAATACAATAAATTTCAAAATCAAATTATCTTGCATCAATAAGTTTATTGACTAAATTATTCATTTAAAAAAAATTTATTTGTATGGTGAATTAAATTGAATTAAATAGATAGTGTACATTTGTTCTATCTAGTATCTACCTATATGCTGGATTTTATTTTTGTTTTATTGCATTAGGTATGGAAGCGTGCGTCGACATTAAAATGTAGTTGAGGAACTTGAACTATATACACTACAAGTATTATATTAAATTGAAGTAAGAAGAGACAAAATTATACAACTTATGCATATGGACCCATAGCCTATGTTACTACTGTAAACCAAATAATTATGCAAAAACATCAACATACTCTATATGTACATGAATATGATGAAATAACGAAGTTATTATGATTTTAATTTTAATTGTTCACTAGTCTTATCTTATGCACTTGCTCTAACGATCTCATTATATTTATATGTCAACCATTAAATATTTCCCTTATTGAAGGACTCTTTCATTGGTGGTTTTTGCCGGATGTCGTAGGAACAAACTCTGCCAATACTAAGAGTTTTATGTAGTAGCAATGACTTTGTTTTAAAATTATACGACTCCATAAGTTTTGTCTAATTCTGTCATGTATCCTTATTACAAATACAATATTCGTGTATTTTTTTGTCTAACTTTTGGCATGTTTTGATTTTATTGAGTTGGGTGGGTTCAAGATTTAAATGGTACAAGCTAAAGTTTTATGCTTCTAAATTTTGACAAAAAAAAAAAGAAAAAAATCAATAGGTACGATTTTGATAGTACATTATAGATTTATAGTACTCGCTTAGGAAAATAGGAAAATAGTTGTACTTTAGCTCAATGTGACTACTTTGTATTTTGGACTTATGGATATTTGAGTACATTGAACCGTGTAAAATATTTTTATACTACCAATTAATGACAGATATATTTTCTATCACATTACACTTTTATTTTTAAAATAATGTTATAATTTGATAATTTAAAATAATTTATTAGATGTCTGTGTAATATTTTTTCACACCGACAGTTCAATGTCTTTAAACTCATTTAAATATTGGATAAGAGTTTTTAAATTCAAATCCATTTAAATAAAAATTATAAATCGATTAAAAAAATTAAAAGAGGAAAAAAACTAAATATCATTAAATATATTTGAATATTATTTTATAAAAACCATTCGATTTGGATTGAATTTCTAATTAATTTTTTAAAATCGATTCAAAATGTGTGTGTATATATATATATATATATATATATATATATATATATATATATATATATATATATATATATATATATATATATATATATATATATATATATATATATATATATATATATATATATATATATATATATATATATATATATATATATATATATATATATATATATATATATATATATATATATATATATATATATATATATATATATATATACTTTTATATTTATTACTTATTTTATTAATATAATGGATTATATTAATTTATTATTCGATGCTACTAATTTTTTATTACTGTTTATTAATTTAGTTTGAACTATTTAATTTTATTATTCATTTGTGTCGAGTTTAATCAACCGTTTTGTTATAGCAAATATATTATTAATTATCATTTTTATAACCTTAATAATAAAATATATAATTTAAAATATGAATTTTCAAAAATCAATCTAAATTAAACTCATATAAGATTTTTTAATCAATTATCCGAAACTAAATCAAACCGTAAGTAAATTTACTTTCGAAGCAGATGAATTTTTATTTTAAAATTAATCCTAACCACATCTCTAACCCCCTAAATATCTGGTCATTATTCACATTTTTATTAAAAATAATTTGATTAGAATAAAATATTATATAATTTAAAATTTTTAGTAATATTTTAAAAATTAAATGTTAATAATAAATTATGAAAATAATAAAATATATTATTTTATTTTATTTAAAACTATAAACAACCAAAATATTTTAAGCAAAAAATATCATAATAAAAATTAAATGATAAATTTATAAACATGTAAAAAGTATAGTATTCTCTAAAATATATATATATATATATATAAATTATTAGACATATTAAATAGTTTGTCTAATTATTATAATTGAAAAATTGAAAACAATACAATCATTGAAAATATATTTTTCTCAGTGTTACTAATAGAAACTAAAAATAATTAATAAACACTTTAATAATATATATTTGTCTTTTTTGGACGTAGCAATTAAATTGTAATATAAAATTAAATATTAGTTTAGTAATAAAATGTTTTTATTTAGTCTCAAATAAAGTAAGAGATGTTTGATAAATTGTTATATAAATTTTATTTTCTATCTAAGCTGGTAACCTAAATATTTTTTAACTTTTCAAAAAACTTACTCTACCATTTAAAAAGAGAGCCAAAACAACTTTCATATCATAAATAGAGGTTTTAATACATAGCCAATTTATTTCAAGTTTTAGAAATGCTAGCTTACGCAACTTCTTAATGAGAATTCTTATCTGGCAAAATCAATGTTATGTGAACCACCTCATATGCCTTTATTCATATATAGTGCTACATTAGTTTCTCCCAACTAATTAAATTTGTTTTCAACTATTTCACTTTCAATTTTACTAGTAGTATTAAATAATGGTCCTGCATTCCAAATATAAAATATAAAACATGGTCCTTAACTATTTTATTTCAATAATAATGCAATCTTTATTAATCAAGTCAATTTAGTACGGTAACAAAATTAGATTTAGACATTATCCTGTAATCAATAACAATTATATTTATTTAGAGGGTAAAGTATTCATTTTTAAATTTTTTTTTTTTAAAACTTGATAACTAGCTTCGAGATCGGCTAATTTAAGACGAAAAATTTCACAATCCTCTTAGGAATACTCATTTGACAATTTGTAATATAGTCTTAACCTAATTTTATTTCAATAATAATGCAATATTTGTTCATCAAGTTAATTTAGTACGGTGACAAAATTATATTTAATCATTATCTTATAATTAATAATAATTGTATCTTCTCACATTATATTTTTTATTAGAGAAGAAAAGTATTGATCTTTTTTATTTCTTTATATTTTTAAAAAAAAGTTTTGCATCCAACTTTGATATCAAGAGAACAAATTTTGCTAATTCAAGAGAACAAATTTTACATGTTTGACAATTTGCAATTTGCAACATGGTCTTAACCTAGTTTTATTTTAATAATAGTAATAATGCAATCTTTGTTAATCAAGCCAAACTTAATACGGTAATAAAATTATATTTGATCCGTACTCTATAATCAATAATAATTGTATTGTACTCGCATTATACTTTTGATTAGAGAATCAAGAAGAAAAATATTGATTATTTTTTTAAAAATTTGAAATCCAACTTTGAGATTGGCTAATTTAAGAGATCAAATTTTACAATCCAGCTTAAAGACGTTCATTTGACAATTTGTTTGCCTATAACTAACATGGTCCTAATCTAATTTTATTTTAATAATAATGCAATCTTTGTTAATCAAGTCAACTTAATACGGTAACAAAATTATACTTAGTCATTACTCTATAATCAACAACAATTGTGTCTTCTCACTTGATTAGAGAAAAAAATTAGATTATTATATGTCATTGTATCTTTAAAAATTTAATTTTACTTAAAAATATATCGGACGACGTACAACTCGCAACAAAGAACTAATTATAAATGGTTGCACCATTCAATGTGATGAATGCATGAGACAAGTTTGGGTCATATGGGCAGAGGTAAGTGTAGCACTAGCACCAAATTGATGGAACAATCCTCTGCAATTCCGAAACAAAAACTTGCACTTTGCACAACCATAACAGAACCAATACTCAAACTTTACATTAAATTCATTTTATTCTTTGAACTCAAACTTTACATTAAATTCATTTTATTCTTTGAACCCCTACAACACAAGTATAGTAACTAAAAACCCTCCCACCTGCATGCAATTTCGTCGTTTAACCAAAAACCCTCACCCTGCAGCCTCTACACTACACTTTCCCCCATAACAAACCACACTTTAATAGCGACACTTTTCTTGTTACTAACTTTATAAATTCCATAACAATTCAAAGAAGAAAAGGACAGTACAACCAGGCATTACTCAAACCAGACTTCAATTAACAAAGCATGAGAAAAAAGTGTTTGCAACAAATAAACAAAACTTTTCTAGTTCCAAGGTCAACCACATAAGTCATGATTGTTTTATCAACTGAAGACAAACCAAGTCTCAGACTTTGTCTTTCTCATTAACCCCTTTTTATTAACTTTTTGTTCTTCACAGCAGAAAAACAAAAACAAGGCATAAAGTAGAACAAAAGGTAAAAACCATGCTTGCTCAAAAACATTCATAAAATATTAATATTGAAATCTATTGCTTTTCAGAACATAGTAGCTAGAAGGAAAAGTACATAGTAGTAACATAGTTTAACCTAGAAACATCAAAACCCTAAAAGATCAACAGACACAGAATTAACAAAATATAAATTAAGCTACAGAAACTAATTAACATCATGCTTAAACTAACTGATTAAGCATTTTGCATTCTGAGTGCAAAAGCATTAAGAACCTCTTGATACTGAAACACAGAATTATCAGCATGATTCACCATGGTCTGTTCATTTCCAAAAGGCACAGACTGAAAACTGCTGTTAAACCCATTATTAAAATTCTCAAACTGTTGCATATTGAAATCATTTTGATCAAATCCACCACCTAAATAATCGTTCTTTTGAAGACCCTTTTTAATCTCAAACGTGTGATCATAGACAGGTGCAGCAGGAACAAAAGGGTCGCAGAAAGTCTTTCCCAAACATTCATTCTTATTCTCTTCCTTAGGTTTTGGTAAGAACCTGTTAACAATCTCTTCCAATAATCCAGAATCAGAAGACTCTTTAGGAAAAAACTCATTATCTTCATCAGCAGAAACGTTTGAACCATTGACAGAATCTAAACCAACAAAAGTACTGTTCATGTTGTTGCTATTAACACCCCCACCACAACAGGAATTCACCAAACAACATCCTGGGAGAAAAGTAGAACCAGAACCAGAACATGAGGTTGAACTAGTAGTACTAGAATTTCCTATGTTGTTATAAGAATAAGAAAAGTTGTCGTGAAAGTGATTCTGAGATGAAGAAACGAAAGAAGAGTTGGAATTGGAAGAGTTGATGAACTCACGAAACAGAAGCATGTCAAGTGAAGTAGTTGAAGGGTTTCTACGGTTACCGAAATCACCACCGTTTGTTTCAGAGGCGGTTGGCCAACCCGAAGACGACACGTGTCGGTTGTTTGGAGTTGTTTTATCAAGAGTTTGAGAATGAGAATAAGAATGTTTCGGGAAGTTGAAGGAAGGAAAAGTGGAAGAAGGAGGAGGAGAAGTTGGATAAACGAAATTCGTACGAGCTTTGATGCCACGCATGGCACGTGCGGCGCAGTCGTAAGCACAAGCAGCTTCTTCAGCAGTGTCGAAGGTACCAAGCCAGCGGCGTTCTTTAGACTGAGGGTCTCTTATTTCAGCGGCGTAACGGCCCCAAGGTCTGCGGCGTACTCCGCGGTACCTGAGGGCACCACCGTTGCCGGCGGTGGCAGTGGTTTCACGTAGTGTTCTTTTGTTGGCGGTTGGCTTTTTGGAGTCGGGTTCTGTGATGGCAGTTGGGGTGGTTGTTCCGTTGAGACGGTTAAGTGCTTCTTCCATTATAGTTGCAGGAGTGAAGAAGATGATGAAGGGTTGGCTTTTTGTTGTGAAAGGGAACGTTGGAATGGGGAAATGGAGAAGGTTTTTGAAGTGTCTTGAATATGGTGCGGTTTGGGTGATATTTATAGAGGTGTCTTGTGTTTAACTGTCGTGGAGTTATTGCACACATCAACTAGAGAGAAATGTGTTATGGAGCCATTATTTTTTTTTCTTTTTTCTTTTGTTTTATTTTCTAGTGAGGATATTAAGAATGTGATTGATTTGGTCAAGTAGAATGTCCTACACAATAACCATAACTATGACAATGACAAAAATGTTGCTCTAGTAGGTTTAGATGTAATAGTTTTAAGATATTAGTTATTTTGAGATATTCATGTTTATAAAAATTTAACTAATTACTTTATCAAAATTATTGAGTGTTTTTTTTTCTATTAACTTAATAATCAACCATACGAAGTAATTATAATGGCTAGAAGTTCAAATTTCAATCATATAAGTTATTTTCACAATTAATCATAGGTATGGTAAGAAAATTCGAACTCGTCAGGACCCAGTTTGAAATTAACAAGGAAAACCCGATTGATTGGTTGTCGGTGTGGGTACGAAAAAAATCTGGTTTGTAATTGTGGGTGCGAGGGCGGGGATGCTACTATCTGTCCCGCTCGGTCTTATGATATTTACTTTAATATTCATATTTTTAATTATTTTATTACACATTTATTAAGTTTTTGACAAATAATTAAAAATCCTCATTAGTTTTTAAAATTGTCTCAGCAGAACAACTCTCATCTTTAGAAACAAATTTATTATTAAAATTGTCAAGTTTTTAATAAATTTTTTTTTTTTTACTATTTAAAAGAAATCATTTTTTTTCGGGTGAGGGTGGGTGCGGGTGCGGGCAAACACAAACAACGTGAAAAGAAAAGTTTAAACGGCGCTGAAACTCTCACTGTCCATGACGACGAAGTTCTCACCGTCCATGGTCGCTTGAAGTTATCTCACCGTCTCACCATCCACAACGAAGCTCTCTCACCGTCCACGATACCATGAAGTCGAAACTCTATCTACCTTCACACCAAACGAAGAAAACAACTTCTCTCTCAAGGTTAGATGTTTTTTCCTCTTTATTTTTTATTGAATCTGTTGTACAAAAAGGAGAAATTGAAAGATGATTAGATTTTAGGGTTTCTCTCTCAAGGTTGTTGTACTAATTGTGTTTGTCTTTGGTTTTGTTTTGTTATTAGGTTGAGTGCTTTATTGTTGAAACTATGGTATCATCAAAACATTTAAACGAAACAGAAGTAACTAAGAGTTCTTTATTGTTGAATCTGTTATTCTTGTTGGACTATATAAAATTAATCAAGTTTTTTTCGTGAATTTAAGGTACGAATGAGGCATAGTTGTATCCCGATGAATTTGAGCAGCATCAATGAAAAGTTAACACCAACTCAGCATGCCCACATCATATGCACCACATTCAAATGAGCGATGGATATAAATCTAACAACTTCTCAATCTCAAATGGTTTATTATGGGAGTCAATAAGTACATGAGACGTACGTAGTAGGGGATTTAGGGTTAGGGATATGATAATTCCCTTTATTCTGGTTGATGTTTCTTTTGCTCTTGAATTGTCTATTGTTGGTAAGTCTTTAATAGTTAGTAATCCTCCATCCAAACTCTTTTTTCAAAGCATACTCTGGATAATATGTTTTACCTTCCTCTAGACAAGAAAAACACATCTCAATTATAGGAACCCAAAGTGAGTCATCACATCACCATCATCATCACCGTGATTAACTTCTACATCTTCCCTTGACTACTGGCACATTCTATCAAAATGTTCGAACTGTCCATCATGACACTAAAATTGCACAAAAAATGTTAATATTATGTATAATATAAATTTATAACAACGTTGGTTAATAGCGTTCAAAATTACGTTTAATGTTGTCTATAACTTGGTTAATAAACGCCCAAACATGTGGGCATGTTTATAACATTTTTTTATAATAAAGTTGGTTAATGGTGTGACATAAGTTGGTTAATACAATTCGCAAAATGGTTAAAGAACCAACATGAGTAAATATATGAAATTGTTTAACAGTAAATAAACATGGTTAATGTAGGGCAATACTATTTAGAACATGGCTAATGAAGAATCATGAATAAACAGGAAAGAAAGTAGGTTAATACTGTGTTAAATATAGAAACATATGAACAATCATGAATAAACATATGATCCAAAAGAAGAACATTGATATTATTGGATGAATCTATAATGATATCTAGAAACTTACTGAGTTAAATCTTCATCTTCATTACATAATGATGCTAAATAAATTTTCTTTTTTTCTCCTTTCATTTGTCTTAGGATATTTGTTAGTTTTTATTTGGGGTATCTAGGTTTCTTTGAAAGTGTTAGTCTTTTTTTAGCAGTTGCTTTAAGATAAGATCCTTAGTCGGAAGAATCTTCCTATAAATGTAGGTTATTTTAGATCATGAAGGTCGTTCCCATGAGTTATGTGTTAGGTTTTTAGAGTCGGCTTCTCACTTGTTTAGCACTTCTTCTATCTCTATTTTTTTGTTGTATAAAATTTTTCTAGTAGCTAAGGAAGATAATTGTCTTACCACATTATATTATATTTGTGTATAAATTTTTTACGTTTCTAAGAAATTTGGCTGGGATTATAGAATAGTTGTCTTATCATGGTTTAACATTCAGTGGTATGGACTCTCTAAAAAAACTATGAACAATTTAACCTTTTCAGAATTGCCGATTTATGATGAGGCCTAGAAAGATAAGTGTATCTCGTTTGCCTGAAAATGGTTTTTTGTTAAGTCACAAAAATGTGCATGTTCTTTCTCTAATTGGGTGACAGGCCCTATCATTTATCTGCACCAATTAAAGTTTAATGTGTCTTTTAATTCTTTTCAGGTGTGGTCCTAAGTTGCGTGTGGAGACTTCTGTTTTATTTATAGTGGTTCATTTTCATAAGATGTAGTTTGGTTCTTATTTTGGTAGCTAGTTTATATATATATATATATATATATATATATATATATATATATATATATATATATATATATATATATATATATATATATATATATATATATATATATATATATATATATATATATATATATATATATATATATATATATATATATATATATATATATATATATATATATATATATATATATATGTGTGTGTTTTTTTTTTTCTCTAGCCTTGTAATCGATGTTAATCTTGTAGTGCATATATATATTTTTTCTTTTTAACTATATTTTATGGGTGTATTTGTTTCCGTCGTATTATTAATATATTTTGTTTATTATTAAAAAAATTAAAATATTCTTACTTATATTTTATGAATAAACTCATATTAAATTTTTATAAATTAAATCAAAATAATTAGTTATATTTTATAAATCAACTATCTTATTAAATATTTTAAAATTAAATCAAGGTAATACAAATACTAATTATTTTCACTTATACTTATAATACTGACTAAGATTTAATGTTATTTTTAATGGTGATTAGAGTATGATAGTGATAAATATAAATTCATTAACAAAAGAAAGTTAGTTAATGTTTTCATAAAATATTTAGTATAAATTAAAAATAAATAGATAATATAATTAAGTATATTGTTGATAAACAAAATGTACTCTTTTATTGGATAAAAGTGTTTTATTCGAGCTATTTGTAATTTAAAAAATAATAATTAAATGAACTCTAATGATAAAATTAAATGTTATTTGTTTAAATATGTTTATTAATTGTAATTAGTATAATAATTAAATAAAATAAAAGTTTATGAATAAAAGTGTTGTAAAAAAAAATTTGTATTAATACTGTAAACAGACAATTATTTTAAAAAGAAAAGAAATATATAAATGAGATACTTTAAAAAAAATGAAAAGAGCATTTAATAGTATTTAATTTATATATATAGTTTGTGTAAATAATATAAATGTTGAAATGTTAATAAATAAAATGACTAATGTTAAAAAAATAAAGTTAATAAAATAATTATATTATTAAGTGAAGTTTTTTTAATTTAAAATATAACATAGTACCTTTTGCAAATGTTTGTGAATTTTTTTGACAGATTTGATTTTATACTAGTAGTAAGCAATACTTTTACGATGGAATGTACAATCATTATACGTAGGTAGCTCTCTGTTTACTTCCCAAAAATAAGAGGTAGCTATCTGTTTGAAACGAACCCACTGTTTATTATTTTATAGTAGTAATTTGTAAATTATCTTCAAAGCCACTCATAATTAATCTTATTATGATCAAGTGCTTCATGGTTATGTAGCATAGTATTACTAATACATTTTAGAATAAACAAAAAACCAAAAGATAATAAACATGTTTATGTTTCATTTTCGTCTGTTTTAAGAGTTAATAATCACTGATTTTGTATTGTAACGTACAATACATTGTGTAAGTTTAAGAAGAGACTTTGTCCACTGTGCATGCATGACATGATGACAATTTCTTATTTGTCATCGCATTGTACTCTACAGTGTTGTATTCTTTGAGCTATGGAGGTTGGATAAAAAATAGGTTCCTTAGATGAACTCAAATTTCAAAAAAAAACATTACTTCAATGAAACTCTTTGCGCATCTATACCTTAACTAGGGCTAGTTTTGCCGGACCACTATCGTCCTACATCCGATGACTTTTAAAAGGTAACTGTTGCCCAACCCCACTTGTCTCCTTCATGCTTTTCAAACTCCTATATATCACCTCAGTCAAGTACTGTATTATTATTGGTACTCATATCATCAAATTAATAACCTAAACTAAACTATTATCCTGATTTTTAATTTTCATTTCCCTTTTTTCTATTTTTATTTATGTGTATAACTAAGAGTGCTATTAGTAAATATTTGTCATGTAGTGTTATTTAACTAGTATTTATTATACACTATCTATCAGTAAAGAATTAATTACTTTTTTTATTTGATTATTTTT